TTGACACGTATATATTTTGTATGGCTAACCGTGGAAGCCTACACGTGTCTTTTCTGAAGACTCAATATATTCTGCATATTTTGCAGTCAAATGTAAGGTAATTCCGTTGCTTTCGTAAGTTCTAGGTACCAAGACGAGCTGCAGATGAGCAATGCAAGAACCCAGATATCTCGGATAAGCTTTTGTGTTAATGAGCTATTTTTTTTCGTTCATTTCTGTCCGATTTTCGAAAACTACCTAGACAAGTCCCTGCAGTTTTTCAGAAGTGGTTTGTCATTGTCTCTTTTCTAGAGCTGAGAGAAAGTGACTGAGTCAAGGTCACACAGCTGGCTTTGTGCCAAGGTGGGACTAGAACTCATTGCCATCTTGTTTCTACCTGGTGTCCTAACCACTAACCAAAGTGGCTTTCAAGCAAATATTAGCATATTCCAAAGTATATTTGTCTATGTGTGGAATTGAAAACAGAGCTGAAAAGATTGAAATATTCCTCCTTCCCTTTTTTAGGGCAAGGAATTTCTAATATGAATTTCTAACAGAATAACCTCCAAGCTCTCCTGCCCTAAAAAAGGAAAGGAGGACTATCTGAACCTTTTCAACTCTTCTTAAGTATTCCACTATTGTATTTCTTTTCCTCACTCTGGTATTTTCAAGGCAATTTGTGTAGTCAAAGCATTTCTTGGTAGGCTTCAGGGGCTGGGGTCTATGGAAAGCTCTCTCCTTAATGTGGGCATCAGAGATTTCCCATTCAGAGCCTCAGGCAAGCTATGGGGGAGGGGTTTTCTTAGCTGCCCACATTGTTAAGTGTGGCAAGGTGCCTGCAACTGGTTATCTTTGCCAGAAAGAGGGGCAGAAGTGTGTGAAGAATGGAGTAAGGAAATTCAGTGCAGTCCAAGATCACTTTTTATTTATAGATGACTTTGGTCCTCAAGATACATAAAAGTGGCATTGGAGACTATTTCAGCATCCTTGGCTAATGTATATGTTAATATTACAAGGAATCATGCAATACAGGTTTTGCAGAAAAAAGTATCTTTCCTCCCCGATACATTTATAGTGGTCTAGTATTCAGTTTTGGGCTAATGTGAGAACATGCTGCATGGTTGCAAAAGTTGATGAGCCATGGATTACAAGACTAACACCTTAAAAATGAATTAGTCTTGGCAGGGACAGCACAATTTGAAAGCTAATCTAGCCTTGTTAATACTTGAATATTTCAGGCAATTCTAGGGTTTAGACGGAGACATCAAAAACATCCCACAGAAGCATCATGGTAAATAATGAATAATATGTATTATAGAAATAAAATTTCTCATGTAGAAGATAAGAATGCATATGATACCCTGTTTTCCCGAAAATAAGACCTCCCGGGATGATAAGCCCAATTGTGCTTTTGAGCGCATGCGCTAAAATAAGCCCTTCCCGAAAATATTGCAACACAGCAGGAGCCATGAGGTGATCACGCTTGCTGCCTTCTGCACCTCAACAATAATAAGTGCTTCCCAAAAATAAGGCCAAGTGCTTATTTCAGGGGTCAAAAGAAAATAAGACCCCATATTATTTTCGGGGAAACATGGTAGTTCTGGACACATTGTAACTGAACACTGAACAATGGCCACCCTTCCCTCCCCATAATAAGAGGATAACTTTGGAAGCAGTACTACAGGAGGCCTTCAGTAATGTAGTTATAAAATAAATAAGCTGCAAAAATAAAGAAAAGATCTAGCTTTAGTTAGAAAGAAAAACCAAAGGACAGAACAGAGTTCTATCAGTCCCTTGGAGTTTTTCAACAGACTTAGATCAGAAATGATAGCTCTTTAATAGCTGCTAATAGTATCCCAGAAAATTGCCTAAATGTAAACTACACCAAATGTTATTTTGAAACAAGATATCCTATTCTATTTTTGTCACTCATCTTGTGCACCAGATTCAGTATTAGATTCCATTGTCAAATTCTGAGATATCCTTCGGCCAGATGGGCTTTGCTGAACAGATACACGAGGCTACACCTCAATGAAATTATGCAGTTTTGAAGCCAGGATTAGCTTTCTAATAGTTTTCAAAACTAAACACAGAAACCTAGATGGGAAGGATTGTTCTACCAAAACTTTGTTGAAATGTGGTATTTATACTGAAAGCAACAATATTGGTTTTTGAAAATTAACATTTGTGACAGAAGTGTTTCTTTGCAGACTGAATGCTGTTAGAACTGAATGCTGTTGTCTTATTTCTCTTCTTCTGAAATGTTGTGGTCAAACTAAATAGGAAAAAGTTGATGCAAAAACAGATGGTCCATTGTACAAACTGAGGTTTGCTTGTGTGGCCTTGACAAGATCCTGATATATTTCAAATCTATATTAGGGTTGCAAGTAAAAGAACACGTTTTATATACAACCAATGCCTGTTTTAAATCTATCCCATTTATCTGAAGTTTCAAATGTAATGATTTGTGTTACAGGTTTGCACAAGTCAAAACAGTGATTTGTTGAACTTTTATATTTAACTGGATAAAAGCAACATATTGTCCTACATTACAAGGTGCTCAAAAGAATATTAGAATTAGAACCAACGTCTAGTGAGCAAGTGCTAATATGGAATACATAGAGCCTCTGCCCAGTGTTAATAGTTTCGAATGCAATATAAAAATATCCTCTCCACTTTTATGACTGTATCATTGCTCTTAAATTTATATATGATGTAACATTAATCCAAATTTATCTCATTCATTGTTTTTCAGGAAATAGTATAGCATCACTACACTTCACTACACTATTAGCACAGGGGAAGAACTCTGGAAAACTAGAATGCTTATTAGTATAAAAAAAGCTGTTAACCTCACACAAATAGCATCTGTCTGTAGGTTTGGGCTTTACTTGCTTTCACTGTGTTTTTTCCAGGAAAAAAAGCACCTCTCAACTTTGGGTAGATTTATATAGGTGACAAGACATCCTTGTCAAGTTGATGAAACTCTTGATCACATACTCAGCTGCTGTAAAAAAATCGCGCAGACTGATTATAAATTGCGGCATAATTCAGTAGCACAAATGATCCANGAATTTGTGCAAAAATTATAATATTAAAACAACAACAAACTGGTGGGAACATAAGCCTGAAAAAGTCACCGAAAATCAGATGGTCAAGATCTTATGGGATTCCCATATACAAACGGACAAAATACTGGCGCATAATACACCAGACATCACACTGGTTGAGAAAAATAAGGTTACAATCATATACATCGCAATACCAGGTGATAGCAGGGTCGCCGAGAAGGAACATGAAAAAATCGCGAAATACCAGGACTTAAAAATTGAAATTCAACGATTATGGCACAAACCAGCAGTGGGAATTCCAGTGGTAATTGGTACATTGGATGCTATTCCAAAAGCACTGGAATTACATTTAAAACAGTTAAAAATTGACAAAATCACCATCAGTCAAATGCAAAAAGCTGCACTGTTTGGATCATGTAAAGCATGTAAAGAAGGATGTTGTATTTGTTTTAAATTAAAAATGAAAAAAATATATTAAAAAATTGTTCATTTTAAATATTGTATTATTTCATGTTTTTTTTGCACTACAAATAGAGATATGTGCAGTGTTCATAGAAATTTGTTCATGTTTTTTTCAAACTATAGTCCGGCCTCCAACTGTCTGAGGGACCATTATCCCTCATTAATTCACCATTGGAGGCTGTGTGTGTGTGTTGATTCTCACCGCCTTCCAATGTCTCCTAATGCCGATCTTGGGGTTTTTAGTTGCAGTCTTAATTGGTGCAGTTTTCAATCTGGTTTATTGTGGGGTCATCTGAAACCTATGATCAGGAGTTATTTTGAAGGAAATCCTATTTGTTTTATTCTTTTTTTAACGGCCTATTTTAAGGAGCCTGAAGCTGTTGTTGTAATAAAGTTAGGCAAGTGGCAAGAAAGTTTGTGCTCTTTTTCCCTGGGGGGGGGGGAATCTTAAGTAAATAGATTCCTTGGGTTGAGTAAGGACAAAGGCAAAATGGACTGCTAAATTGGCCACGCCCACCCAGTCACATGAACACCTAGCCATGCCCACCCAGCCAGCCTGTCCCCCCCAGTCAGCCATGCTCAGTGAGTGCCATCAAGCTGGCCATGCCCACCCAGTTGGCCATGCCCCCCCCCCCAACAGTGTGAGGGACTGTAAATCGCCCCCCTATTCAAAAAGTTTGAGGACCCCTGGCTTAAATAAACACTAATTTAGCACTGTTGACTATCCTATAGGGCTGCTCTGTTGTTATAGTGGTTAACTGATATGTATGCCTTTGTGGAACAGCAATGTGTTTAGTTACAATGCAAGACTTTTTTTCATTTTAAATGCTTTCAAAAGCAGCACTGGACAACATAACAATCCTTTAAATCTCAAACCCGAGTTGCCCCCAAATATTTTTAAGCTTCATTTTCTTCTTTATCTGAGATAAAACAAAGAAAATCTGTTATTGTAATTACTGTACTATTAGGTGACAGTTTGAATTTCTAGTGTTTTAATGCAACAGCATTCTCAGTGTTAGCTGATGGGAGAAATGATACTGCATCTAATTATTTCTAAATGCTTAAACTTTAATGTGATAAAAGACTTATCTTACTTGTTTGTAACAGTGTGGTGCTATAAAATATTTACCAGATTAAAAACTGAGTAAGGGAGAAAAAAAAGAGAAGGATGCCTAAAATTTGAATACTTTAATTTTATATTATTTTGGGATACTGGAAAACATCAATATTAGTTTTTTGAATGTGTGAGCATTTTTCAGCTGGAGATGTATAAAATAAGAATATAGTTAAGGTATCCAAAATAGAAATATTTCCAAGAAAATTATTAAGGTGACAATAACCAATTAGCTCCAGGATTTGAAAACTAGTTTTTTTTTTTTAAAGTGTAAAATATTTGGAAATTCACAGATACTGCTATGAATTTTCAAGTGTACTTTTTCTTTAGTAATGAAAGCTCCAAGCAGGCAACAATATCAAAGGAAACTGGCACCAATTTAAGTATTTTTAATTTTCTTACAACCACTTAAAACGGTCATGAAGTACCACAAAATTATATACATTCATTTACAGAACAAGTCAAATAATCTAAAATATTTTAAAACCTTTACCTGATGCACCTAGGCAACAAAGAAGGTGCTTCAGTAGACATTTTATGTGCATATCTTCTACTTTCAAATTTTTACCCTCAGTTCACACACACGCACACACATATATATTAATTAAAGTAAAAATACAGCAAGCAGAAAAGACAACACAATATACATCTTTAATCTTTTTAGAGCAAAGCAGGAAAGTGCATGTCCAATGAGCTATTACAACTAAGAAATATGCTGGCAGTACCTGCCTTAGAGGCTCTTTTAAGAGGTTTTGATTGTCTATGAACATTAAGGAAACAATCAGAACAGGAGAGAATATGTGCGCACAATGGGTGAAAATGAAACAATAGCAGCCGGAGAAGCTGATGAATACAAACCTTCAGTAATTCTAAGGTATACAAGGTTCCATAGGGCAAACAAAAGGATACATTTTTCATCCCCCCCAAATCTTATCTTAAACCTATTTGTGTGACGTTCGAGATGTATAGGGGTTCCAGATTCTAGCCTTGCACAGGACAACAGTGGAACTTTGAATTTATTAATTGAAGGAAACAAGTTCTCTCCTGCATGGAATTTGGTTTTTACAGGTTTTTTAAAAGAATTGCTTAAAATAATATAAATAATACAACCTATTTCTAGCAAGCATGAGGAGTAAACACTGTGCTGGTGCTTCTCCAGTGCTAATAATTTTGAAACATGATATAAAAAAAGAATTCACATTCATGGCCTTCAGTATACAATCCATTTGTTATAAATCCAAGTCAAGGGAAGGGGGAGTTAGATTGCTGCACATGCAACAAATACTACTGAATTATAGATATAACATAGTTTTAAAACTAGTTTTGTCCTTTCACAATCCATTCTGATCCCTTACCCTTAAGGCTGCTTTCAAATATAAAGGTCATTTATGGATATTTTGGGGAAACTAACACCAACATAAGCACCTGGAATATAGTGAAACTTACACCAGTGAGGTTTCCAGGAAATGTCAGTTTCTTTGTGCTTAGCAACTATTGGGTATTCTAAAAATTTTCACAGCAGACAACTATCTTAGACAAAGCCAAAAATGGCTTTTAAAGACCTTCATTTAAAATGTTGAATTTTATATCTGCTAAAACATTTGGCAGTACATCTTGAGTGAACTCATACAGTGTTATTTACAGAAAGAAACAAAATGGCTGATATCCTGACTTTAGACTTTACATTTTGGCAAACATCTTTTGCAAAAACTTTTTATTCAACTCCTCTTAACTGATAAAAGTTTGGCCAGTAATAAAAAAATAAAAAAAATCTCTGACCTTGGAAAATTGTGTGCTCAATTCAGTAACTATATGAAATATTGGATTGCATCTTTTTCCCAAATCTTTAGAATCAAAAATGGCAACTACACAGAGTAAAATTACAGAAAGAATAGTATGCACATTAGTCAACTTCAAAAAAGTAGCTTGTGTTTTCAGAGTAGGCTAAATGTTGGGTTTTTTTTCTATCTTCCAAAATTTTAAAGTGTTTCCTCAAGACACAAATCATGAGAAAATCCAGTTTGCTGCCAGTTTCTAATAATTTTTAATATGCTTTTTCTATAGCAATTAGCACCAGATCTGAAAAGTATCTTTACCTTTCCACTCTCTCTGCTTTAGGTAAATATTAATGCAGGCCTTGAAACCAACATAATTTTTCCTAGCTAGAATGTCACTGGCCTTGTAAAAATATGCAATGTTATCTAACTTGAGAGTTTCCTTAATCAAATTTAATATTCCAACAGGCTTTGAATGTCATATCAGTAGCAAAGCAGGTAAGTCTAGCTGACTTATCAGGGCAACAACAGGAAAGAGATGAATGATTTATAAATTACATTTTACAAAACTCAGGTAATATTTCAGAACTATATATGGAATATTTTACAGATTGTGTTAAACCTGTTAATCCACAAGACATGCTTGAATTGGCCTGAAGAAATGAAATTTATCCGTTTCTCACGCGTTGCATAGAAATGACTCATTCAAAGTAACAAGTAATGAAAAGCATTTTTTTTGGAAAATCCTTAATGGTTATACTAAGACCAAAATGATAGAACAAGACAGGAATGTCAGCCTATAAATATAACCTGGCATTGAAAATTTTACTCTCAGCAATATATGGCATATGAAAGCTTTACTTGAAAAACCCTGAAAATCTTAGACATACAAATTTGAACACATGAAGGTATTCCAATTGGAGCTAATTAAATAAAGCAAGAATTACACTGAGCCTGATATTCATTTATTTTTTTACAAAAACCCCCAATATTCTTTCTGATGCCAAACAGGCATTTATACTTTCACACACATGCATGTTCTTATAAATAATGGAGCATCTGAATAGCACTAATTTCAATATACAAATCTAATTGCAAACTTGGCCCATATGTTCAGTTACATATCATTTCATGTATTAAACCTACTTTGACTGAAACCTGAAGCATGAAGTCATTCTGTCTACTTTAGAATTCCATATAGCTAAATAAGTTGTGAAGAAATTTCTTTCACTCTCTTCCTAAAATTATTCAATATGCCCTGCAACATGACTCTCCAAGTCACCAATGCTTTGATCTAACTTGTGAATAATAAATACTGAATGGCTGAAGCCACAATTTATGTATGTAATAGGTAGAAATGCAGAAACTGCTCTGGTTCTTCTAGCTTCCATAAAACCTAGTTTTCCATTCAAAACATGTTAAAGCATCAGCTTGTTCTTGCAGTTGTGGGTAGTAGCTCTTTGTATTAGATCAGCATATTAAGCTGATGAACTCAGTTGAGTTCTCCATACGTTAAGCAAACTAAACTGCATCTCCTAATGTGTTTGTATGGCATGCAAACTATGCCACCATTTTTCTTCTGTATATACTTTAAGAAAATCAAGTTCTATGGGTGCATTTACAAAACTGTAACAATTGACAAATTTACTTATTTGAGATCTGGAAGGAGCTCAATTCATTCTTCTGCTAAGGATACAAATTCAGTTTTAAGCAAATAGGAAGGGAAGACTATGTAATTTTCCCTAAATAGCTACATATTTCCTAAAAAATATTTCTGGTGTGTGGCAATATTTCTGTGCAACTTTAGCTTACCCATAGCACGTATCAATATCCACAATTTCTAAGTTTTCCCTCTCTACTTTTATCTGCAACATGACAGGCACAATCTTCATTTATCAATATTTCTCCATAATAAAGAATGCTACTTCTTCAGTCTGTGACTATCCTGTAGCTGCTAAAGGCTACGATTCTGTCAGGACAGTAGAAAAAGAGGGGCATCCATAATTTAACTACAGAAAAGTCAGTAGCTGTATCATTCTTTTACTTGCCTTGTAGCCTTTTTTGGTTTTAGAGGTAGAGAGCAGGCTCTAAAATAAAGCAGAAAGAAGCTGCAATTTCACTTTTAACCTTTTGGCCACACCATGTATCTTGGCAAACAGCTAGTCTACTCATTTAAATTATCTTCAAGACTAAAAAAAATAAAAATAAAAAAGAGGACGGTCATTCAGCAAGCAGCAAAGAAATGCTCATCTTCTGCATTCCTTTCCACATGCTGTAAATTCTTTCTGTCCATACCACAATTGGAGGATTTGTTTTCTCCTCGCAAAAGATATTTAAATCATCTTTTATTCATAAAAAAGCCCTGATGTACAGAATGAGTAAGAACTACTTTTTTAAGCCAAAAGACAGCTGCAAAGATAGTTAGGATTGCATTAATATTTTGCTCCAAGTATTTTCCCCACTCAAAGTGCAAAACTGTAAAGCCAGTTCATAAGCAGTTTCCATCTAACCCTTCTTGGTTCTTCCTGCTGAAGGAAAAGCAGGTTACTGCACTTGTGCTTCAAAGTTTCAGGTTCAGCTTATCTTCTTCCTCCTGTTTTAGTTGGCAAACTGCTGGTAGAAGGCAAATTTAACCCTTTCAATGTGATGGCAAAGTTTAATGGCTGGGCCAAGCTTCAAGTCCATACACTCCTGAACCGTGGGAAGAGTGAGCAAGAGAAGTGCCTGCCCATCTATTTCCTATCAAAGGAAAAGGAAGAAATAGCAGTTAGCATTAAAAGAAATGTGTTTTTCCCCCAAATCATTTAAATATTTCATTAATGCATTACAGATAGTCCTCAAGTTATGAATGTAACGGAGCCTGCCCTGAGCATTTGTAGGAGCGAATTGCATAATTTGAACATGATCGCTCCCTCCTTTTGTCCACACATTCACTAATCAAATGTGCAACTTGTTAAGTGCACATGAGATATCGTGGGGTGGGGAAGGCCATGGGCGGCCTAGTGATGGAGCAGGCTACCGGCTTCAGACCACCCAAGTCCACCTCCAACCCACTGAGATACCTTATTCTTCCTCCCTGGGGTCCCCACAATTGCTCTTCCCACATTCTGCTGAACTGGGTCACTTACCTTATGAAGATCTGTCTCCTCTCCAGCCTCTCGTTTCTTTGCTTGCTCCCTCCTTTGTCATCAGCAAAGCGCTTGATTAAGGCTTCGCTGACCAAAAATGAACAGAGGGTCATGTGCACCTTTCTGGGGCCCCTTTCTCGTTGCCGAAGATGAAGCCTTTGGCGAAGAAAAATGAAGCACGGAGAGCTGCACACTCCCTTCTGGGTCTTTCTCCTTGAGGATTGTGTCCCTCTAGACTTTGGCAGCACTTTGCAAAAAGCCTTTGCCAGTAGAAACAGAGCTGCAGAGGGACATGCCTACCCTCCAAAGCTCCGCTGGCTTGACAAAGGCTTTTTGCAAAGGACTGCTGAAGCCTACAGGGTTGCAAGCAAAGAAACCGTGTGAGAGAAGAGATCTTCTCAAGGTATATGAATGCCTGTGAAGACCCGGCGGTGTGTGTGTGAATAGGCTGGGCAAATGTTGCAGAGCCTCTTCAGTCATTCATATGGGCGAACAACTGCCGTGGTACTGCAACATTCATAATTTTAGGACCTTCATAAACACTAGGGGGTGCTTATCATGTAACTTCGAAGGTTCGTTACTCAGGGATTACCTGTATAACTTTGGTAAGAAACTACATACATTATAGTAACTAAAATAAACTGGCTGTAAGGAGAGGAATAAAAAGAAAAAGAAAGAAAAATGGATATGATATCAATATAAAATGTGTGGACTTCAACTCCCAGAACTCTCTAGCTAACATGCTTGGTAGGGAATTCTGGGAATTGAAATCCATTAAAGATGCCAAGATTGAAAAACACTGATCTGAGGAGCCCATCATCTGGCACTGTATCAATTGTTTTATCTTGTCTATCCGTGTACTTTTCTTGGTAAATAGAGCGATTTATCATTGCCTATAAAAGGATGTCTTTGGTGTTATCATACTTAATATCATCCCACAGCACTGCTGTCCAATAGAGGTTCCTGCTTGCTTTAACTGGCAGCTACAATGTTCTTCATTCCTTAGGTGATGTTGCTGAGATTCCATACACTTGGCATATATTCCCAGTCTCCTTTGCTCATCCTTTCCGTATACACCCTTACCCGCTACAATGAGGCAACACAGCAGGGTTTTTCATGTGATTTTGAGTTAAAACTTTATCTATTAGCAATCAAATGTGCCAGTAGCTTTCAAACTGAAAAATACTGACCCTGCTCATTATAAATTGACCCCAAAACATGATCATGTTTTCCTGGGGTCAGTCATTTACTTTCTCACTGAGTCCAAAGAGAGCAATACTTAGAAAAGATATCATTTCAGAGAAATTGTTTTTTTTAAAGTTTTTATGTTTTTGTATTATGTATTTTCTACCAATTGCATTATAAGAATCCTGTGAGTGATATAAATACATTAATTTAAATTAAATAAACGTATACATTAGGTCTTTAAAGGAAAAGACCTAATGATACAGTTAAAACATGGGAAATGGTCTCCCTTAGTCTAAAGAAAATCTGAGGAATCTTAGCTTCCCATTAAAACGTTCCCAATAATTTATATATATGCATATGTATAAATTGCACTTATGCATGTATAAACACAGAGGTAAAAATGATCAAAATGTTACTTTAGTTGACATAATGGTTTCAAGGAGTCAATTATCTATGGCCAATAATAAAACATACCTGATCCAGAAATATTCTAGCTAATGGCGCACAATCTGTAGATTTAAGGAACCGCACGACATCTGCTACACTCCATTCCAGAGGATTGCTGTCCAGCTGTAATTTTTCATCAACTTCTATCTTTATTTCCTATGCCACAAGACATAAAGAGAAAAATATCACTTTTACTTCCTTAGAGATATCTTTTCCAAAACATAAAAATGTTCTGTATGAGTTAGATGATCCACTGATCCAGAATTCTGGGGGTAAAAAGAAGTTCTTTTGTTGAGGCATAACATATATCCTGAAAACATGACAGTGAACTTGAATGCAGAACATATATTACAGGTAGTCCTTGACTTACCACAATTGAACTCAAAATTTCTGTTGCTAAGTGAGACAGTTCTTAAGTGAATTTTGCCCAATTTTAAAACTTTTTTTTGCTACAGTTATTAAGTGAATCACTGCAGTTGTTAATTTAGTAACAAAGTGAATCTGGCTTCCCCATTCACTTTGCAATGTCAAAAGGTAAATCATGTGACCCGGGACATGCAACCATCATAAATATGTGACAGTTGCTCAATGTCTGAATTTTGATCAAGTGACCGTGAGGATGCTGCAATGGTTGTAAGTGTGAAAAACAGCCATAAGTCACTTTGTTCGGTGCCATTTTGACTTTGAACAGGCACTAAATGAACTGTTGTAAGTCGATGTCTACCTGCAGTACAGTAAGTTACCCCAGTTTTGCAATTTCTTAAAGTAAAAAAAGGATTCTGTGCAAAGAGCCCTGCCAAAAGAATTAGCAAAAGAAAAAAGGATGACAAAAAGATGCTTGAAATTGCCATATAATCAGATTGCTCTAAATCCGTGATGGTGAACCTATGGCATGTGTGCCACAGCTGGCACGTGGAGCCATTTGTTAGGGCACGTGAGGCATTGCTCTGTCAGCTCCAGCACGCATGCGCGCACTGGCCAGCTGACTTTGGCCTCCTTTTAAGGCCGTTTTTCGCCCTCTGGAGTTCGGGAACAGATTTCCAGTTTGCTTGTAGGGCCGTTTTTCACCCTCCGGAGCCTTCAGAAGGCTTCCCTGAAGGCTCCGGAGGGCAAAAAATGCCCGATGGCCAAACCGGAAGTCACCGTTCCTGAACTTCCAGGTTGCCTGTTTTTGCCCTCCGGAGGCTTCAGGGAAGCTCCTGAAGCCTCCGAGGGCCTCTGGGGGGGCGGGGAGGCTGTTTTCACCCTCGCCAGGCTCCTAGAAAGCCTCTGGAGCCTGGGGTGGATGACAAAAGTATGCCAAAAGTGGGGGGGGGGAGGAGTGCTGGTTGCGTGTGCATTTGTGCAGGGGGGGGGTCACACACATAGCATTATCACCGTGTGCACACCCACACACGACCTCCCTGCATCCCCCCGGCTTTTGGCACATGATGCAAAAAAGGTCACTGCTCTAAATTATAAATAATATATAAGAGTGGCCCTGAAATATATACACTGAGACTGGGCAATGTAAACTTTTGAGTTTAGTACAGCAGAGATTCATGGCTGTCAGCTTCTAGAAATAAAAGACCTCAAACTGAACTGAAAGGAGAAAAAAGTGCAATGCAATTGCAAACTATTATTGTTATTGTTGTCATTCCTGTTGTTGCAGTATAGATGCAATATTCAATCATCACTGGGAGTTTTTTTATTTGACAAAGTATTTTGGATTTAATTTGATGGCATTAATTTTTCATGTATCTTTGAGAATTAGTCATATAACCATTAAATAATCATAAATGTAGGTAACTGAGGATAGGCAATATCTGATTTATATTATTTAAAGGGATAATCAAGACTGTGATTCTAATCCATTGCTGTATGGTCTGAACCTGAATTTTATTTCAACTGGATCACTAGCATATATCTTTTTCTACATTCTAGTTGCTCCTATGTGATATACTAAAGCAGATCATAATTAATTAATTATATACTATAATGGTATATTGTAATTACAATTATTATACATAATTATACATTAAAATTAGTTAATTATAATTTCACAAATCCTACAAATATGTACCCTTAATTTGTGATCAGAAATAAGTGACTTTTAATTCTACAGACTTAATACAGCATCTTCTGCAGCAAAAATACATTTCTGATTATTTTTACTAAAGCAGCATTGTATTTTCTATTATTTCCTTTACTACCTTTCTGTGTTCTGAGATCATGGTAAAGACCTACTGAAGAAGTTTTGCTTTATTTCTACCATTGGAAGAAAATGTCAAATTCACACACGCAGAGATATCCACATAAATTACTTGAATGCACATGGAAATTAAGAGGAACAAAATTGTTGATAAAGGTTATTACATTCAGATATAACAAGGACTAGCACATAGGCCAGATAGGTGCATTTTATGTGCTTTAAATCACAGATAATTAGTTAAGAAATAACTGTCAATCATCTATCTTTAAATGTAGATTTAATTTGGGAGAAAGGAAAAAATAAGAAAATTGGTTTTTCAGATTTTTTTTAAAAGGTTAGCTTGACCAAGTGAGCTGAAATCACCCCATCTCTCAATTGGTGCCAATTTAGGAAGAGAGACATTTAAGGGAAATTGTACAAGTTTTACAGGCAGTGAAATATACTTAAGTTACATAGTAAATAGATCTAGCAAACATCAGAGGGAGAAAGAGAAAGAAAGAGAGAGACCAAGAGCATAAAGAGGCTGAAGAACAATTTTTATCAGACTGTCAGACTCCTGAATGCGAGGTAACATCATAACTAAATAATACAATGGACTTGCAGGGCTGGCACAACGTGTAACATATTCACACTGGTGTAATGGGACTGGGTGTTTGTTAATATGACTTATTGGGTTAGGGATATTTTGTTTTTCTTTTTGTCTTCACTGTGAGTTGTATTGTGTTGGGGGGGGGTGCACTGAGGGAGCTCAACCAATCTCATTATACATATGTTGTGCACTGACAATAAATAACAACTATAGTAACAATCAATTATAATAATAGTAATAGTTACTATTATTACTATAATAGTTGCTGAAAGAAAGAGATTTGCTGAAAAGCTTGATGATGGTTACATGTTTTACATGTTTTACAATCAATATATACCTTTGGTGAAGGTGGCCTATTTTCATCATCTGAGAAAGAAAAAGTTCGTAGTTTTCTTTTCCGTTTGTCCCGGTCTGGAGCCCCAAAATGAGACTGCTCACTCTGTGTTGGGGAAGATGACTGTGATTTCTTCTCTGATACTTCAGACAGTTCCTCCTGGTGCTCAGAGGTACTGTCTTCAGTAAGAGACTCCTCGTCTATCTCATCCTGATCATCCTCATCGCCACTTCCCTGAGAAACAATACAGAACCACTCAGAATAGCACGGATTAGCAACCTCTTTATCCCACAACCTCTATTTATAGACTTGCATATTGAATCTATCCCCCCCTAGTTGCCTACTTGGGGTGATCCCACTGGTGTGTTATCTACAGAGGTAGAAGATCGCTTCTTCTTATGAACAAAGAAGTTTTTCCGTTTTTTTCTTTTCCTGTTTGCTTTTTTCATGCTTGCCTCAATGTTGCTGTGGATACTAGGTGGTCGGCCAATCCTTTTGTTTCTCCGCTTTCCATAATAATGGGCTGCAGGTGGTTAAAAGAAAAAAAAGAATTATTCTCATGAAACACAATTCATCATTTGTTAGTCCTTAAAAAGATAAGACCTTAGAAGTCCTCTTATTATATAGAGTGCTTATTTTGGTTGTGTGTAACCTTTACATTACTGTAGTAGCAATGCTGGGATATGCCTTAGGAAAAATAGCAGAGTATTTACAAAAAACAGGATGGGTTATCTGCCAATTTACAAGTCAAACTCGTCTGCAAGAATTAGGATTCAGGTTTCTTAACACAACAGTTATGCTACCGTGAGATGTAATCAAAGAGAAGAGCCATTTTCCCCAAAGGAACAAATAATACAAAGAAGGGTTATCTGGAGGGGGTATCCAACAGAAAAGGTAGTGTGTAAGGTGCTAAAGAAAGTGAATGTAGCACTTTATTTTTTACTAAAATATGAAACAAGCCCCCCCCCCCCCCAAAAAAAAAAAAAAAAAGCTTTCAGCAATTACAGTGACAATGGTTGGATTCACATATGTGGTTAGCCATAACATGCTTTACTAGATTTTGGCTAAGCTTGTTGTGTGAACCCAGCATCATATTGGATTTCTCCATTCAGTAAGAAATTATCTAACTCTTATGAAGAAGAACTGCAAGATTATGTTTGAATATTTTTTTCAATTTAACGCTGTCATAATTTGATTTGAGATACTGTAATCTCTGAAGCCCAAAATGTGGGCACTTCATGGTAAAGTAGAAGACCATTAATCATAAATGGTATCCATGATTTATTATTGATTAAGTACCATGTTTCTCCAAAAATAAGACTGCCTGGATAATAAGCCCAATCAAGCTTTTGAGCACATGTGCTAAAATAAGCCCTTCCCTGAAAGTAAGCCCTCCCCAAAAATATTGCAACACAGCAGTAGCCATGAGGTGACCATGCTCGCCGCTTCCTGCACCTAAAAAATAAAGACCTCCTCGAAAATAAAGCCAGGCGCTTATTTTGGTGGGGTCAAAAGAAAACAAGACCTTGTCTTATTTTTTGAGAAACATGGTAGCATTAATTCATGGGCCAGTATGTTATCCAAACAACTGGATGTAATCCAGTTATATCACTATAGGCTTTGTTACTGTTTACTCAAAGCTCAAGGAAGTGCCAACTAGCAGCCATCATAAAGCTATTAGGATATTGTGTACTTATTGAAAAATGCTCTAACTGCCTACGTGTTATGGAGCAAATAAAAGCCAATAACACAATTACTTACTGTATTTGGTTTTTGTTAGAACAGAGCAGTTCTCAGAACATTTGTCTAGCACCATTTGGGGGCCAAAAAGATTTGGACAACATTCCAGTTTGATGCAGGTCTGCCTGCAGAAGTCTGCAACTCGATCAGCTGTTCTTACCACCTCCACTGTAGCTCGGTAGCTCTTTCCTTTATATCTGTAGCAAAAGAAGGTTTCATTAATAAGGAAACATGATGTGGCTTTATACAGTACAGTAACTAAACCAAAGTCTACCATATTATGGCTTACAGCCCATGGCTTATGCTATTTTGATTTGTAAACCATAGCCTATATCTGTGCAAGTCCAATGAACTGTGGCTTATTGAATAAATAATTATTATACAACGGATTAAAATGTGAGTCAGGCCAGTCCTAAACATAAAGAGAGGATGAAATTTGAGTAAATGAGATATCACAATATGTTAAATTTCTTGGTTTAAAATAAATAAATAAATAAATAAATAAAACATTTATTTATTCATTTAAATATACAAGGATTCCATGCTGACTGTTGACAGCACAGAAATAAAAAACAAGTACAGTATCTAACAATGAAAGAAAAAAAAACCACAATTATATGAGGGTGTGGGAGCATTCTCTTCCTTGATAGCTGCCTAAAGAAAGGCATGTCATATCTATGACTTGCAACTCCTTACAAGCTTTCCCACTGACATTGCTTATTGGAAGCTGGCAGAAAGACACAAGTCCCAGTTATGTGAGGTCCTCACCTACTGATGCATAATTCTCACTTAACAACAAAAGGGACTGTCATCTGTGTGATGTGATTACATGGCATCATGCTTTATAACCACATTGCTTAGCGATGGAAATTCTGATTCATGATTACCATTGTGAACTGAGGACTACTTGTATACGCTACCAGGTTTTTTTTTGTTCTTTTTATATTATTTTCCTTTTTTGCACATTAAAGCAATACTTATATTAAAATGCTTGCCTTTTTTGGTTTATTATAAATATTATAGTCTCCAGCTTTTCTCTAAGAAAGGAACATCAAAGGATCTGAAGGCAGCACTGGTTTACTAACAATTCAAGACAACAGGGAAAAGAGACTAACCCATTATCAGTTAGAGCTGAAAGAAGCAGTAGTTTCTGAACTACTGAGGTATTTTCTATTTCAGGTATTATTATGAGAAGTGCTCTGGAATAGCCTTAATATTATTTTATCAAGCCACTTTCAAAGCAAAAGCAAATAAAAGAAATTGTAATAACCCAGCCTTTCATTCCCTTTCTGCTTGAGTAAGCCTCTTAACCTTTGACTGAATAAATAAACCAGTTGCTTAAGCCAGCCCAAAGACGGTTATTAAGTTGGTGTGCTTGTTATTTCCATGCAAAAACAGCTTCAGCGGAGCAGAGGATTTAATTAGGAAATACTAAGATGAGACTAGCAGCTTTTTACTTTCCCACCACTTTTCATGCAGCCTACCAAAACCTGTTTCTCCAGCCTAAATTGAATTACAGAGTGGAGATTGAAAGGAGCTAGTTGGTCTGTCACAGATTTTATTCCCCTGGTGGAAAGGCAGTCCTGAATCCAAACAGTGCTGATATCTCATGTGGTTTGTCAACCCTTCAAATGACTTCTAATATGAGGACAACTTTTATCTGCAATTAGGATTTCTACTGCAGCTATAAAATATATTATCCTGGCAGCTTTTGATTTTTAAGGATGGGGGGGGGCATAGGGATAAAAGTCCATTCATGCAGGAAAGTTCTAGTATACTCAAAAACTTTCAAGCTTCTGCCAATTAAGTCCTGAAAGTCCCATGCCAAAACTGTGGTCAGTACAACTAATTTAGCCCTAATAGCAAAATATAAATATATGGAGTATTTTACTTTGCTTTCAAAATCTCCCCATATCCATGCCACGAAGCTTCTTCATCTAGTTGTATTTCTCTAAGAACACGACTAGGTTTGTAAGCAGCGTTGATCAACAAAGAAAGAACCTAAATTCAGAAAGAGAGAAAAATAGATGTAATATTAATGTGCGCAATAAGATTTATTTTAATATATTATTGTGACTTAGTTGTTTAACTCTATTTATATGACCAGCATATAAGTTTGTAACAATAAAGGCAAAACAAACATTATTATTAATTCCTGCAATTTTCTTGGAAAGGTTTTAGAAGTGGATTGCTCTTATCTCCTTCCTAGGGCTGTGAAAGAGTGACCGGCCCAAGGTCTTCCAGGTGATTTGATGTCTAAGGTGGGACTCGAATTCGCAATCCCCCCACTTTCTAGCCTGGTACCTAACTACTGCACCAAACTGGCCCTCAACCAAGCACTTAACAGTGTCGAATTTGAAACAGAGATTCCAAATCTAGTAGCATTCCACCCTAGGTGTAATACAATGTTTTTATTAATTTTCGTCAATTTTAATGAGGAATTACTATAAAATAGTTCCCTAACAAATGATCTTGTAATTGATTTAGAATGCTTTATTTCTATGCACATTTCATTTCTTTTGTTTGCCAAAGAAATAATGTCCTTATACTAAAATAAAATATACAGTATGTATAAAATATACTAAAGATAAATATATATTCTTAATGACAAATAAGAAAAGTATGGAGTCTGGACGAGCCAAGCTTCTTCCAACCAAATGTCCCCCAAATGTCTAAGACTACAATTGTAAGATTGACAATGCTGTCTGCTAATAATAGTACCAATATATCAAGAAAGCAATAAGGGGATGTTGGTGACAGCGGTGAAGTATAGTGCAGGTGACAAGATGGAAAAAGATTGTGAAGAGAACTTCACTGAGCAGGAAGATTATGGAACTGGCAGAGGAGATACGGTAAGTAGCGAAGCTGAGAATGAGTTAATGAAGGAGAATTTGAAGAAATTTCGCAAGAGATAGTGAAACAGCAGAGGCCATTTATTACAGAATGAAAAAAAGAAAAAAAAGCATTTCTGGGGTTGGTCAGGATGGGATTTAAATAAAGTAATGTACACTTCCCCACCAAGAAAAATTCTGAAAAGACCACTGACATATAGACCTTGAATATTGAACATGACTGCTTGAATATCATAAAAATTATGTAGCAATTCTGAATCTTGAGTACTAGACAGTATCTGACAATGCTGCCAATAAGAAGCATTACCAATGACATCTAATGTGTAGCTGAAATTCCCGAAGGCAGCTATAATAATCTGGGATGTTCTCAAAGGGTTATAGATTTGTCATAACAGAATCAATTACCGACTCATCAAATTTTGTATTTTGCCTTGGGCAGTTTCTTCTGCTACAAAATTCAATCCCTGGTACATATCCCTAACATCCATACATCCCTTAGGCATTTCTAGAAAACATAAAATTAATTATAAACCCTATAAAAATCTATTTTTTCCTTTAGCTTTTTATTTATTTGTAGCAAATTTGTACTCAATTTACCCTTTCCAAAAACAAAATATTCCAGTGTGCTTAAAAAAAACCCTCATTTTTAAAAATATGATAGAAACTATTTCATAGGGAAAAACAAAAACACTCACATACACTAACAGCTTAAAGTTGTTTCTTATGCCAGTTCTAACTCAATCTATCAGTCTAGAAGTGCAGTGATGTATTATTTCCCGTGACTAGATGCTAGTTAGTGAAACGAATGCTTTTCCTTCCACTCTGGTGCCAATCAGCGAAGTGGAAGCAGCTTTGAGTAGGGGTAGGGAATAGCGCAGGCAGAAAAAAGAGAAAGGAAGGTGGAGTAGCAATGGAAGCAAACTGTAAAGAATCAAAATATGTAGGAGCATGGAATAGGAGCCACTGGGCAAGGACTATGTTTATGTATTAGTCTCCAAGATGATTAGGGTGGAGGAGGAGCTTTAAAATGTCTAATAATGTATAAATGTATACATTATATTGCACTCCTGATCTAAAACTATACCATGGCAGTTTATCATAAAGTATTATACAATAACAACAGCAATAGCACTTAGACTTATATACTGCTTCACAGTCTTTACAGCCCTCTCTAAGTGTTTTACAGAGTCAGTATACTGTATTGTCCCCAACAAACTGGGTCCTCATTTTACTGACCTCAAGAAAGATGGAAGGTTGAGTCAACTTTGAGTCTGTGAAAATCAAACTGCTGGCAGTTGGCAGAATTAGCCTGCAATACTGCATTCTAACCACTGCGCCACCACGACTCTAACTGCAATTGTTATATTATAAAATTAGTATCAATAGCCCCAATTTAATTTCATTGGAGGAGGGGATTCTTCAACCAAACTGCTACCACTATAAAAGCCTTATGATGAGTTCTAAAATCTAAAAACTGGCAGGAAGTTGCCTCACTTAAGTACTGTGGGACCAGCTAACAACAGCAACCAGGACTCCAGGAACTGTCATTGCTAAGTAATGTGCTTGTGCTTTATGACCACATTGCTTAGCAACAGAAATTCTGGTCCCAATTGCTGTCATAATTCAAGGACTATTTACATAGTACATGGAACAACTCTGGAAATAAGAGGAATGGAATAGGAAGAGATCCAGAGACTAGTTTTTCTTTTTTTTTTAAAGGATACTGTGGAGCTGCTATTTCAATCATGCATGACTTTCCAGGCATAGCTCTTGAAAGTTTAACAATCTACATCTTTGTAGTGCAATAAACAAAGAACAGCCCATAAAAACCCACGGGAAGGCTCAGAATAACCAAGTAAAAACAGACAGGTACAGCAGAATGAGAGGATCCTTTTTTCATAAATATCACAGGCAAATGTGAGTATGATGATCAAGGAAAGGATTCCACAAACCCTGCTGCTGATTTTTCAGTTTTCTCCACAATTATTGTGGGATGCTCCTCCAGAAAACAGAGGTGCAGTATAATGTACAGTGTGCATAGTGACTTATATCAAGAAACAAGTCAACTGAAAGTTAAAACTGGTCTAAGTTTCTGATACAAATTCCAGGATCTACATATTTTAGCCAGGTATTTGCCCTGAAATACATTGTTTTGGACGTTTATTGTATTGTAAGTGGCTCACTGTCAGATTGTGACACTCTTACTTTTGTTCCTGCCTTCTCCTAACAAAATCCCAACATTCTTCCCCAAATAATACCCAAATGAGTAAATGGTGCTGCAGATACACAGCCATGCATTGCAGATGCCCTTACCTCTTTAAGAACAAGGACGCAATTCCCAGGTCCTACAGACTGTGGGAGTTCTGCAATTCTCCCTTTGTTAAGATAAGGTCCTGAGAAGCATCGGTGGTTAAAGTAGATCTTTGGGCAACAGTATTTACCATTTGTTACAACTGGAAAAATAAAACAATTTCTGAATGCAAACACCTTCTTAAAACATCCAATAAATCAACAGAAAATAAAGTAACAGGCAGTTTCCTATATAAAATGTATAGCAGTGGTCCTGAACTTTTTTAGCACCAGGGATTGGTTTCATGAAAGACAATTTTTCCACGAACAAGTGTTGGTGGTTTCAATTTTGCTCATCAGCTTCTAAATACTGGTCCTCTTTGAAATACACATTTGGATGTTTGCTGCTACATTCTTCCCACTTGGTTATTTCAATCACTGGGAATGTTAAATAATCCAATAATAGCAATAGCAACAGCAGTAGCACTTAGACTTATATACCTGGCAAAATTGAACTGCTGGCAGTCGGCAGAATTAGCCTGCAATACTGCATTCTAGCCACTGCGCCACCACAGCTCTTAATCAATGGTATACTAATTAATCCTAGGATGGGGAAATGCCCAAAATAAAGAACGCTGCCTTATCTGAACTGCTGGTGGAAGACATATTCGGACCAAAGTCTGAACAACTAAAACTTATTTATAAGAAAATTCCTGAAATGTTAGGTAAGGCTTCGCACTTTGTGGGTGAGGCACTAAAGGATGCAAACTTCCTTTTCATATTCCAATTCAATTGCAGAAGCCTTTTCTTAGAAACGATGAAAACTCAATTCCAACACATTCTGTAACAATTGGGTTACATTCAGAATCTTATAATACATTACTGTCCCCTTAGAATAAAGGGGACGGTAACTGTAGTTTTCATATTAATTAGTCATGCTAAGGCTGGGATGACTCCATGACTGCACTTCAAAGTCAAACAAAAGCTAATAGATGCAAGAAATATCTGTCTCATTAAAAACATCGCTTAATAATCCTGTAACGGATGGTTGTCTCAAAAACAGGATTTTCCAGTGTTATACTGATTAAAGATTAAATAATACTGTACTTATAATTACTTTATTGCTCAATACAGCAAAATAAATCAGCAAGCACCTTGGTAATGTGAGATCGTTGAAGTTAACTAATCTTACATTATAACTATCCTTGGGATAATAATTACTTCCCTTAAAGCCATAATGTCACCTGGTTTATAAATGGCATAGATGAAAATGAGATTATCTTGATGCAACCCCTCTACATTAAAAATAATATAGTTAAATTCCAGAATGAGCACAGCTTTTACTTGTGTAAAGATAGTGCCTCAAACTATACCTTTTGCATGCACTGCAAACTATGCAAATAAGGTTTTAAGGTGTGCCAACAGATTGGTTTATGTATTTCAGAAATGGGTGTAGTTATTCAACATTCATTCGTTAAACAATTTAGCAAATGATTAAATTTCACCATCTGTACATATGAAATTTTAGTGTATGGTTTAGAGTTGCCAGAGTTATCTGTAAAGGAATGACAGTCCCTCATGGAAAAAGAAAAACGTTTTAAAATGCATGCAAGAAAAGCCTCATGCTCACCGAATAGTTCAAGAAATCTAAGTCAATGACAGATCTTTATAATTAGTTCAGAGCAATCACTTTCCATAAATATAAATAAAGCATACAGATATCATAGCTAGATAGGGTAAGTTGCAGTCTTACAGTCTAACATGTAAACATTGTTTTCTTACTAGTGTCCGCTGAGTTCAGTTCCTGGGTCTTTAATCCTTCACTGACAGTCCTTGAAGATAATATCCTGACAAAAAAAAAGGGGGGGGGGGAGACACGGACGGACAGGAATGGAAGATTAAAATTTGAATTTTGCAGAGCTTTGTACCATATTGTTTTTTTAAAGCAAATATGATGTATAAGACTCAGGCATATTGGGAATAGGGGCACATTTCAATATTTTTAATGTAAGCAGAAAATAAGATGACCAGAAATATGGAAATGCCTCAAGAATAATTATGTATTATGAGTAAGTGGACACTGAGCAATTCTCCTACCCTTTCCGAAATGTTAAATTCCTGAAAAGGGGAGGAGGGGACAAAAATGGAAACCAATGTGCCATTACCTCCAGGATCTGGAGAAGGAACATTACTTAAAGTATTTATCATCTAAAAAGAAGACAATCCTGCCATACATCAAAAGTGGCTGCCAGGCTACTGCAATTCCTAGGAATAGCAATAACCTACAAACCCACATTCACACTCAGACAGGAACTTAGAAAGATCAAAGACAGAACATGGAAGGAAGACAGCACCAACATAATATACAGAATCAGTTACAACAATTGGAACCAGTTCTACCTGGCAGACAGGACAACAGTTAAAAAACTAGAATCCATGAACACCATGTCAAACAGCACGACCCAAAGTCCCCGATCGCTCATCACACTGACAACACACAACACCAGTTTTGACTGGGACGAAGCTGAAGTCATCGGCCATGCCAAAATCCATCAGGCATATGAGTTTATCGAAGCCTGGCATTCTATCAATGGGTCCATCAACACACACATTGACTTAGAACCAGTGTACAAACCAATAATGAAGCGGACCATCCAAACCACCAATCTATGATAGTACCAACCACTCCCACATCAGTTAAATTTCATGCCTCACAGCAACTAGTCTTGTGATTCAACCAATCTTGTGGCTCAATGAGTCTTGTGATTCAACCAGTCACAAGACCAAATGACCACCCAGTACCTATATAAACAAACAAAACACTTCACCCAAAACCCTGCTGAAGATGCAACCTAGTTTGGTAATGAAACGTCTGAGAGCTGAGCAGCAAACTCAGAGAACAAATCTCTGCCTAGAGACAACACTATATTTAAAAGAGCTCTTCCATGCGACCCCAAATTGACAAGAGACTATGAGAACTCTAGTAAGACCAATCCTGGAGATTTCTCATTAATTTGCTAAACAGGTGTGGGCATATATGCATTCATGTATGCTCAGTTTCTGGTTTGGGGGAGTTTATTGGTTTTTGTAATAAATTTGTATTTATGTAAAACGTCCAGACTCATTGTGAGTAACTTGGGAAGCCATATAAATGTTCTAAATAAATAAATAAATACATGTAAATAAACAAATATAAAATGTATTCTTCCCAGAAGTTGTACAACAAAATAGGGTCAGGCTCAGGACAATCCCCATTCTCAACCACCAATTAAACAAATTGTCCATACATTAATGTATGCTGTTCAGAACATTAGCGTGGTTAAAAAAACATGCAGTGGTAGATAAATGAATTAAAATATATTATAAAAGATATCACAATGTAAAAAGGACAGAAAGAGGCGCTGTTGAAAAAGGGTTTCAAAATACCCAGTTCTAGTTATCTGCACTTGTATTTAATATTCTGAAAATGAAATCATTGTTAATTATAAATATTAAGTTTAATGCTTACTGTTTCTCTGGTTGAACAACTGCAATTTTCTTTTCCTTATTCACTGTAAATCAAAATGAAACATGCTGATTATTAATCTAATATGAACACTGTAAAATATATCCTATGTGGACGCAAAACAACTGCAGGTCTTTACATGATAATAATCACATAATCACAATGAATTGTAACCTAGTAACAAAACATCAATATGGAAATGATGATTTTCTTTTTGTTTTACAAATGGGCACTTCTTCAATTCAGTTCCTAAAAATATTAAAGTCTTTGATATAATGCACTTATTTTAGCAAATATCCTCTAAAGCAGGTGTAAGGCCTTAGGCCCCAAATGAGTTTTAACAGGAGTTTTTAATTTAAAAAACAATGAATTGGAACATCAAACTTCTTATTTGTAGGGATGGCTTTGGAGCTCACAATAAATTTGATAGCATGGCCAAAAGAACAGGGTGGTGAATAGGGGGGGATTGACTTTCGATTTGATAAACAGGCATATTTCACAACTTAATGGCATCAGTTTTGCAAGTGCACAAACACATACTGTCGAAATACCCACAGTGACCTCAGCTCTAAACACTTATCTTTAACTTGCTACCGTGTTTCCATGAATATAAGACCCATCCAGAAAATAAGCTCTAGCCTGATTTTTTTTAGCATGCTCTTAATATAACCTCTACCCCCACAAATAAGCCCCAGTGAAGACTTTCATCTTCCTGGGGGAGGGGGTGGCATGACCAACACAGGAGGTGAAGAGCGCATTTGGACAGATGGTGTACGGCAGCAGCCACAGCCCGTGCAGCGGTCATCCCCACTGCTTGTGACCACCGGCCCAGCCCTCCAAGCAGAGTCGTGGGGGGAAATATGTGATTCTGACATGTGGCAGCACCAGCAGCAGGCAGAGGAACAGGGGGAGGGCAGGTGATCCCGATGTGCCATGCGGTCTTTTGTCCCATCACTGCCACGGGTAGGCTGAAAGATGGTGAGACCTATTAACACCCGATTTAATGGAGGCAGGTGATTCCAACGTGTGGCAGCATGGGGAGGGGGTGTCCCCATGCTTCGGAATCACCTGCCTCCATTAAATCAGGTGTCAATCTGTCCCACTGTCTCTTGGCTTGCCCATGTTGCCCCGAAAATAAGCCCTACTGTGTCTTTTGAGGCCCCAAAAATTGTAAGACCAGGTCTTATTTTCGGGAAAACATGGTACTAATTCTCAGGCATTCTTAGAATGAAATAAAACCACTAATTTTATGCCTCCTATGAGCTTTACAAGCATGCTTATATGTTGCAATCCAAGGTGTGTATTTTTTTATTACGTTTCACAAATACACATAAAAATATTTTGAAGTATATATCCCTTGTCTAATACAGCTATGCACCAGTTTGCTGCAGTGGTCCAAGTGCTGGCCTAGAAATCAGGAGACCATTAGTTCTAGTCTTGCCTTAACTATGAAAGCCAGCTGGGTGATTTTGGGTCAGCCACTCTCACTCTCAGCCTAACCCGTCTCACAGGATTCTTGAAAACAAGACGAGGAAGGAATATTATATATGCTTGCCACCTTGAGTAATAAAGTAATAAAATAATAAAGGCAGGATAAAATAATCTAAAGAATATTCATACCTACTACTCTGCGAGGAGGTCTAAGCTGGTATCCATTAGTTTCACACCAACCAACTGGAAATATATTCATAGATTCCACACTCACTATGAATTCAGGGACTGGGATTTTAGAACCTGTGTAATAACAATGATCATAATGTGTGTAAGCACAATTGTCACCACTACTACCATTATATCGCCATCATCTTACAAGGCTAACCAGCTAGAATACTTCTTATGAACTCGCATTCTTCATTCCTCTGCACTTGTGAGCTGTCTCTAATTTTGTCACTTAGCTCCATCAGGCTATAAGTATCTTTTTATAAGGTTTTTAATTATCAGGAATGGTAAAAAGAAATACAGAAAAATTAAATGCAGCTATTTCAAAACATTTCCTGAAGGAAAATAGTTTGCTGTGTATTGTTTATGACACTCAACCAAAATACTTCTGTAAATGTGACCTGTGGAATGGCAAATCAAGTTAAAAACATTTATCTTTCTCTTCTCTGAAAGAATACTTACTTTCCAGCTGTAGCCAGAGATAGGAATCCTTCACCTTTGTAATAGTAGCCACACAGATTTCTTCTGGGTTTTCTGAATTCACAGCCTCAAGTTTCATGTTCTCCTTAAAACCATGCTCAGAATTAAACTAACAAAAGCAAAACACAAGGTACATGGTTTATTATGTGTTTTCAGAGCCTCACATTAAAATATTAATGAAAAAATAGTTCAAAACAATTTTAGCAGTAAAGCGGATACTTAGAAGACACCACAGAACAGATGGTTCATATCTTGTGAGTGTGAAACCTTTTAGACAAACATGAGGTTTCAACTGAACAACCCAAATAATCACTTACATCTTGAATAAAATGCACAAGGTCTTTAAATGCACAAGAACTTGTCTGAAAAAGTTCTACCCTACCACTTCAACCCAGAAGTATTGATCGGCCTAAGATCTGAATGTAAACAATTGCCTGTAATGTATATTTATAATCACATTTTCCTCTTTCCCTCCTGCCTTAGATAATGCTGTCCCTCAATGTAGGATGCCTTTCTACAATTTTCGGGTGTTAAGAATTTTCAGGTGTATTTATGAAGGCTTTCCCTTCATAAATACACACTTACAAATATACACCCATTTTTACTCCTACCTAGCTTGTTGGGTTCTCTAAATAAAAAGTAATCACTAAACCTAATATGTTGGGTGCTAAACTGAAGAATTCCAGTTAAGCAGTCTACCAACCTTTTTAAAAAGCATTATTATGATGATTGGTTGTGCTGTCAGCCACATATTTAGGCTTGTTTTGGCATTTTTATCCTTTTTATTATGTTGTTGCTGTAGAAAATCTACATTATATTTCAATATAATGATATTTGGACAATATCAATTGGAGATTGTTAGCTAATTTTGTTAGCTAAACCTTGCTAACTCTCTAGATGCAGATTTTTTTTAATTTACAAAGGAGCATTCCATCACCACAAATCCTAATTTGCAGCTTAAATTGCATATGCAAAGAAACATCTTACTGTATCAGTAGCATTTGTAGCCAGACACAAAAGAACACTGTTACTTACACAAGCTACACTATAAATTCTGGAATAATACGATGAATATTAATTACTAAGAGTATATGTTTAGATTTCATAGTTTAAACAAAGTAGGGGTTTTATTAGTATGTGCTGTGGCTAATGGACTTTAGGAATAAAATATGCATCAGTAAATAAAACCTTTCACATTACTTTCATGAATGCTTACCAGAGGAAAGCAGCTTTGGGGAGCAGCCTCAGCTCCGCATTGCTTGAGATAATCTGCCCAGTCAAAGTCTTGACCTGGATAACCTGTGAACAAGGGGGGAAAATAACTTTATCATAGCATTTTAATCTTATTCCGTCTTTAAAATATTGAATTATCTTCCATTTCCTCCGCATCTGGCTCATTAAAAATGTTGTAAAATATATGAGATTAAATTGATGATGATCAGCGTTACCTACTGACATTTATAGTTCTTTGACCCTGGGTTTGGACAATCCTCATCTAATATTCTAATACAGGTAGTCCTCGACCCTGGGATACTGCAACTGTCATAAATATGAATCAATTGCCAAGCATCCAAATTTTGATCACATGACCACAGGGAGGCTGCAATTATCGTAAACGTAAGGAACAGTTATAAATCACTTTTTTCAATGCTATTGTAACTTTGAATGATCACTAAATGAACTATTGTAAGTTGAGGACTACTTGTATATCACACTGATTTCCTTAAACATGAGCGCATTTTTTTTTTTAAAAAAAAAGCTCCAAACTTCAGAAAATTCTTTCTCAGGTCTAAACTACAACTGAATTATGCTACAAAACTATCCATCTCCAAAATAGCTCAATAAACAAAATTAAATTATACCACAAATTTAAATGCATCTAGA